ATTAGCAATGGTCTCCATATTGTGTCTTGAATCTATGTTTAAGGGGACTCATACACCTTAAAACCCATAAGATGTTCGAATAGGTGACCGTTGCAAGAATTGAGATAACTTATTTATTTTAAAAGCAATTACTACCAAATTTTTACAGCTGACTACATAATATAGCTGCTTTCTGAAATAGTAATCAGAAAGTTTGTGTTGCCACAAATATTTTTATAATTTAATCCGCTTTGTGACAACATTTTTCGTCATGCTTCCAACTTGCGCACACAGTTTAAAACATTCTGTTTCATATAATTCCATAATTAATATATAGCTTTTATAACATTTGGAAACTATTGTGAACCTAAAATTCTAAAAATTTCATGTTAAATTTTTATTTTATTTTGAGTTAAGTTTATAAAATGTATTTTATTAACAAAATTTTTAATGTTTTCGTCCATAAAATTTTTCAATATTATAATATTCATCAGATTGTTGGTTCAGTTAGAAAGTAGTGCCCATATAAAGAATTCCATCAAATTTCAAGTATGTAGCATTAGCCATTTTTAAAATATCATGCGCGCAAGGTGGAAACATGGTGAAATATTTTGTCACAAAGATAATTAAATTACAAAAATATTTGTGGCAACACAAACTTTCTCAGATTGTTGGTTCAGTTAGAAAGTAGTGCCCATATAAAGAATTCCATCAAATTTCAAGTATGTAGCATTAGCCATTTTTAAAATATCATGCGCGCAAGGTGGAAACATGGTGAAATATTTTGTCACAAAGAGAATTAAATTACAAAAATATTTGTGGCAACACAAACTTTCTGGTTACTATTTTCCAAAGCAGCTATATTATGTAGTCAGCTGTAAAAAGTTGGAAGTAATTGCTTTTAAAATAAATAAAATATCCCAATTCTTGCAACAGTCACATATTCGAAGATCATAAGGGGTTTAAGGTGTATGAGTCCCCTTAATTGTATAAGTAATATTTGCATGTGGCAAAAGATAATGAAGCGGTGGTCACTTAATGATTCTTCCTCGGAAACGGTCCAGTTGTTAATCAGAGCTGCAATGTTAGTTGATGCTAGAGATCTATCCATCCTTGTCCGAATGGTGTAAAGAAGATTGGAGGACTATTGCAGTTATTTAAGACTGCGAGATTGTTTTCATGGATATATTCTAAAAAAAGTCGGCCTCTATTGTTTTCATTAGGTGCTCCCCAGACTTCACTTTGCGTTGAAGTCACCTGCTATTATGTGATGAAAATGAGCAGGCAGATGAATTGTTTCTAATTCCTGAAATATGTCTTGCAGAGCGATGGAAGGAGAAGCATAAACAGAGGTACAGTAAAGTGGGAATTTATTATTTTCTATTTTGATTGTTACTCTGTGGAGAGTAATATGCGCAGGAATTGGGTTTAATGGTCCATTATATATTATTGTGGACTTGTTGGAGTAAGAAAGAATAAAGAATAGGCCAGTAGGAATTTCTAATTTTTGGTTTGGAAGGATGTAAGGCTCTTGAGCAAAACTTATTTGTATATTCTCTTCTTTGATATATTGTAGAGCATACGGGAGTATGATTTTTGATCTTTGCAGATTTATTTGTAGCACTTTTATGTCCTTGAAGGATTCCATTAGTAAGGGGTTTTTGATTTAATTTTTTCAACTTCCAGTTGATAGGAAGGACATTTGACGTCGTTTGCGCTATGGAATGTATCAAAATTTGTATGGGGATGGTTATTATTTACCTGGCAATTAATACATCTAGGTTTTTAAATCTTGGCACTGGGTAACATGGTGGCACTCACCACAAAACATGCAATGGGTCCAGATAGAGCAATATTTGTAGTTGTGATTAAAATCCTGACAATTAGTGCAGCGTCTAATCCCATAGTTTTCCGTGATACGGATGAATTTCCAACCGACTGCTATTGTTTTTAATTTTTGTAGACTATTGAAGGCTGGCGGTGTACATTTTAAGATCCATTTCGATGTGTTTCCTGAGCGTTCCGAAAGTTTGTGGATAAGAGTAAATGAATGACTTGGCAGGCTTGAAGTCGATGTCAATAAGTTGATAATATCTAGCTCCGAATATTGAGTGGGAACATGGTGTAGATTGCACCTGGGTAATCTGGGTATTCAGATCCTTATAATTAAGTCCTTTACGTTGCTGTTGAAAACCTTGTCGTTTAGAAGGTGTACATCAGAGTTATTATAACAAGAAACAGCAATTTCACCACGTCTGAGTTTGGTAATCTTTGCGAAATTTATGTTGAGAGTATTAAGTGGAAGGCGTTGGTCTAGATCCTCTAGAAGTTTGGTAGTTGTATTTTTACCTTTAGGGTACAGCAAAAGAGCTGGTAAATTTTTGTCTGCTAGTATGTCATCATACTTAGAATAGCTGTCATTTGACACGTGATGAGTAGATGGAGTCTGATAATTTCTAGCTGAATGATCCTGATGTTGACAAGTATGGAATTATTCATGATGATTCGAAAACTGATCATTTTCATCATAAGCGTGGAAATTAGTATCGGTTATATTGCTAAATCAGTAAATTTATGCCATTCTACTGCACTAAAAAAGAAATCGGATCGAAAATAAAGTAAGAAGAGGTCTTCTTGCAACGTTAATTCAACATGATCAGAGATTTATATTTAGAAAATTTGTAAAACAAAACTTTTGAGTGACGTAAAAACGTCTACAGAATTTACTGAAAAATTATTTACTTCACTTTCACCTGAAACTGTTCGACGAGTACTTATATCAGCTAGATTATGGGCGCTCTTCTCGAAGAAAAGTTATCGTAAGTGCAAAAAAATAGAAAGCTTACTCTTTCCTTCGTAAAATCGATGGAATTAAGCCCGGAGCTTATTGCAACCATGTCTTATTTGCAGATGAGGGCAAATTTGACATTTTTGGTTCCGATGGGTATATAATTTTATGGAGAAAGAAAAATGAGGAACTTAATTCCAAGACCTTGGTTGGAACACTAAAGCATGGCGGTGGAGGCATCCTTGTGTGAGAATGCATGTCAGCATCAGGTAATTTAGTATTAATTGTTGTATAATGAACTATGCTATTTATTTAAACATTTTAAAAGATAATTTTAAATTACTCTCCCAAAATTGGGGTATTGGAAACAAAGTTATTTTTTATCAAGATTAGGATCCTAAGCACATGACACTCATCTTTCACCTTTGGTGTGTCTACAATTATCTCCAAGTTCTAAACACACCACCGTAGTCAGTAGATTAAAACCCGATAGAAAGCTTTTGGAGAGAAGGAGAGATTTGAGAACGAAGACACAACATAAAAACGAAAACCGAACTGAAAACAAGAATGATGGAAGAATGAAGAAGTATTGGTGCAGATTAAAAAAAAAACTGATAAACTCTATATGGCCAGACGTTTGAAAGCTGTCATAAGTGCTGCAGAGTATCCCTCAATATACTAATTGAGAGCAATACGATAATATTTACTAATATGTGCAGATTTCTTTAAATTGTATGAAGACTTTTGTGGGGTAATTTCTCTGTTACTTCTTGATTATTATTTTTCTCCCAAAACGTTCTCATAAAATAGCTAATGTATTTTTTCCAGAGAAATTTATAGATATTATTAAAAAATTCTCAAATATTAATTTTCATTAATGAATAAAGCAATTTTTCACTTACACGAGTTTCAGTGAAAGTACCACGAGTTTCATTGTAAGTGTATCAACACTTTTCGAAGCCACTGTATGTAACTTGGCAGTCCAATCGTAAGTGTCAAATATAATTCTCGAAATGAATGAAATTTCCGTGGAACTTCTTCTCTAGCAAATTTTCTGCGTCTTGCATTTAATTAAATCCTCTAAATATTTTATCTATTAATTGATTGATTCATATTATATTATTATTTTTTAAAAATTATAAAAATATGTTTAAAATTCAGAACTAATTATCCGAATTTTTGAAGTTATGAAGGATTTTAGCACGTGGTCATCCACTGACGAAGTTAGAAGAAGAAAAAAAGATATGGTTAGTATAAACCAGACTTTCGCAAAGTAAACTTTCCGGCGACAGGTTGAAACGCAAGTATTTCCGAAATGGCTTTAATTATTTTCAGAAGATTTGGTATGTATGCATAATTAGTGCTGTTGAATCGAACTAAGGAAAAGTATTGGAATGTTATTTGAAATAAAATGTTTCATTTTGTGTCAAAATACATTAAGTTAAAGGTATGCTATACATAAATCTGATGTATATCTTCAGTAACTCTTTCGAGACATGAAATCCTACAATTTAAATTTTGTCGAATTGCCAACTAATTCAGAAGATACAGAAATATCGCTTTTATTTTTTAATCACTGTAAATTGTACAAATTTATATGACAAACAAAAATTGCTATGAAAGACCAAGGAAATAATACTGTAAGACAACAGAATATTCAAGATATTAAGAAAGTAGATGCATATTTTGTGCAGTATGTTTACTCTAAAGATGATTTGGATGACTGAGATTCTTTTCCTTGCTCCCGTTTTCATTAGATAATATTTGCCTTTGGAATACTTTTCGCATTTATCTTCAAGTTAAAAAAAAAAAAAAAAAGTTTCCTAACTAGAAAATCGAGCTTCTTCTTCTTTTTTTTGAAGATACGCAGTGAAAAACGTTCATTTGAAAAAAATTCTTTTTACTGGAAATACAGCGTTGAAACGGATAGACTAGACGTGTTTTTATTTTAAAAATCTCTGACATTTTCAGTTCGAACACGAAGTCTGGTAATTCTAAATATGGTGAATACTTGAATGGTTAAAAAATGGTTAAAATGACGTTAATGTATTAGCAATTTATATTTAGTGGGAGCAATGGGCTGAAAAAGTTGGAAAAAGTTGGAATCCAGTAGTCTAAACGGAAATGAATTATCTCCTGTGAATTAAAATCTCGTTTTGAATCGATACATTTTCGATTGTGGTGTACTGGAAAGTTCTATGATATGAAGAAGTCTTATATTCGAAGTTGAAGTGTATGATTTGCATTCCGTGTTGCTTTTGTTGCGGCACGTTCGAGTGTAGTCGCGTGTTCTAAGATAAAGATAGTACTTTGCTGCTGTTTATAATTATATTTTGAAAACTAACTAATTTGTAATCATTAAGTCATGGCTAAATGGGGAGAAGGTGATCCACGATGGTTAGTGGAAGAGCGTCCTGATGCGACAAATGTCAATAACTGGCACTGGTAAAGTAATTTGCTCGTTTTCTATCAGAGATATAAAGTTGTCTAATTCTAGGATTTTCATTATGCAATTTCGGTTTGTTACGTTGTATACTATCATGAAAACGAATATGCATTTATTGAGTTTTTTTTTTTTAAAAGCCTTAGCAAAATAAAGATTGGTTTTGTACTAATATTTAAATTTTAATAAAGCGTAACGAATGCCGTCAGTAAAGGACGAATCACTTACATCGTCTTATTTTTTTAGTATATATAAAATATAATGTTGATTAATTATTTTTAATTAATAGTTGATCAGTTGAACAACAATTATATTTGATCTGTTGATAAGCAGATGAACAACAATTATTTTATTGTTTTCCTTTTATAACTTGGTAATGAGTAATGAAATTTGTATACATAACAAAAACTTGTATAAAAGTGCTGTTAGTAAATGTCCTATTTTTTTTTTTTTTGTTAATAAAAGTCTATGCAATATATGTTAAGCCATCTATTCATTTATGCAAAACTTTTTTATACATCTTTTGCAGCAGTTTGTTGCTATTGAGTTGATAATGGGTGGAATGGGATCACCAGCCAAATTTAAATATTCACCAGTTTATTCTTTAATATTTTATTTCAGTACCTATATATTTCATTTCACAATATAATACTGGAAGATTTTAATATTAGTCACTAGTTTCAATAGTTTGATTTTAAAATTGTCTAGCATATTCGAGTATTTAATTCACCAATTTAATTCCATTCACTATGTAACATTAGTGTATTTTTATAATAATATTTTGCTCTTGTGTAATTATTTCAAAATATCGTGGTATGTATTAGTTTTCTTCATGCTCTTTTCTGAATATTTTAGAAGTATTTTTTTTATTTTTACTGTGAGTAAGGTTGGCAAATGTGACAGAAAATTATCTGTTGGGCAGTTTTCCTCTCAGATTTTAGGGTACGAGCAATATTTAAATAGCTACAATTAATGCAAAATGTATTCATGTTATAAACACCAAATGGACACGTTTTACAAGAAGATTGTGATGAATTTTTTTTTTTTTTTTTTTTTTGAGAAAGATAGTGAAAGCAAAGTTGTTTGATTTTTCTACTTTTGATTCCAGAAGTTTGTTAACATGTATTTTTTCTTATTTTCATTTCTTTCTTTTCTCTCTATTCAGTCACGGAAACTGCAAAAATGATTCTAATCTTATCATGTGGGCAGGAGTCTGTAGAAAGGAATTTCTGTGTTAATAAAGGTATTGAAAATTGACAGTTTTAAAGATTCTTTGTTACTTCCTGATTATTCCCACTTCATTTGAAAAATTGCCATTTTTTGTCAACTAAATATCTGCCCAGCTAATGCAAAAAACAACAGCCATTTTGAAAATGGGTGCATGCTAAGAATTCCATAAGAAATTGATAGTTTTAAAAATACCAGACTCATCCGTGCGATACGTGCCTTATGTTAAATTTTTTTCTTTCGTTCTTCCCATGCTACAGTGATCTCTTCTCACATATTAACTCCTTGACGCGCACGATATTATTTTTATAATTTTTTTTAACTAAAAACTCTAGAAATTGGATATTATGATCCTAGAGACAAATAATATATGAATTAAAAAAAGTCTACTCTTGCCCATTGTACTGTGGGTGGTGGTTGCACTGTGAAACCACCATACGTCTAGGTCTTTGAAACTTACCTAGGCAGTAGGGGGAAAAAACTTACCTTTCTCCGTGTGCGAATGACAAAATTTACGAAGTTAAAAAACTGTATGTAGGAATTGCATAATATATAATTTTTTGGCTAATCTTTGGAATATGGTAACAGGTAGTTTGGTGACATTTTGGTAAGGTGATAAAGGTAAGGTGATTAGCTAGGACGGTTGATCTTTACAATATGGTAACTGGTAGTTTGGAGGCGATAAAGGTTACTACCTGGCACTTTGGTAATAATGTGAGCAGTACTCAGTTTCGATTACGCATTATTTTGTGTGAGGGAAATGAGAGATCATGGGATATGTCATGTGATATTAATGAACGAATTATGGCTCTTTAATCGGAAAAGGGGGGAAATCGGGAAAAAATCTGGAAATTTTGTATTTGGCTTTATTCTGTGTTGTGTGAAACAGTGTTCGTGAATTTTTGGATCCCATGGCCGTAACTAAAGTGAATTCGAAATGGGTATTTATGTATGTATTAATTTAATGTATGTGCTCATTTATATTTTAAGTAGTGTTTTTGAATTTAATTATATTTTAATTAAATGATAGTTATTTTGTGAATTTTATGTTTGTAGGAATTTGGTATACGTTTTAGTTGAAGTAAACGTGCATGGAAATAATTTAAATATCTGACAATAAGTATTTGTAATGGTTGCGGTATGAATTCGTTGGTGACGTGTATAATGTAATATGTATAATGTAATGCGTAATCGGAACTGAGTACTTCTCACATTATTCCCAAAGTCCTAGGTAGTAACCTTTATTGCCTCCAAAATGTTGCCAAACTACCTGTTACCATATTCCAAAGATCAGCCCCAAAAAAGGTCTTTACATTGTGAAAACAAAATGGCGTCCAAACAAAAACTAGCAGGTTGCTGTAGCAGGGTTGGTCGCCAAATTTTCGCCAAAAAATTGCCACGTTGCCATAAATCCAAAGATTAACCAATTTTTTTACATTATTTTACAAAGTAAGTCGTCAGAAAAAATTAAAAAATGAAAATTTATGTAATTTTTCTATAGCAGTGAATATATAAGTACCTACATAATAAGGACGTTTGGCTAAATGGATTAAAAAACTCGTTAAAATAAGGATAAAAAAAAAAAGACTTCCATTTTTTTTTTTTTTTTAAATTTCAAAGGGCAAATATTTTTTGTGACACTATTCAAAGCATGTTTTGTCTTTTTGGTACATGCCCACATTGCACATTTCACACATGTATCTTTTTCTATGAGGTTTCTTCCTTGTGAACTGCCTGGATCTGAATTTCACTGTTATATGTCCAGCGTTATTTAGTTTCTTTTCATCTGGCACATGAAATTTGTGGATTTTTTATGTTAATGGGGGGGGGGGCTTAGTCTTTTTGGCTTTGGTATGGCTCATTCGTTTCCCATTCATACTTATTTTATTCGTATTTTGTCCCAAAATATTCAGAAAATATTTTAAATTTAAATAAATCTTTACGCTATTTCTATTTTTAATTATAGCAAAGTATTCTTATATTAAATTTAAACCACAGGAAATAATTTATAAAATCACAATACTAGTTTGGGGAGCAAGTGTGTTGAGGCCAGAGAAAAGTCTCTGGAAAAGAAAGACCTTTTTACTGGGCAGGTGCATTAAATTGGTTAGTAATAAAATAACTCTGTGATTTCAATACCCCTTATCTATATCCAGGTAAAAATAAACGTTCCTGTTTGAGAAGCAAGCAAATGCCATTGTGAAGAGCAGTGGTTTGAAGGCGTGACCACCAAGCTTTTAGAGCATTGTGACACGATGCTCTAGTGGCGCAGTTGTCGTGCCGTGAAACCACAAAGCAAATGCCGTACATATAGAGGGGTTTTTTATATATGCAGTTTAATTATTGCTATTTTGTATTGTTTTTGATAGAAATCAGGATGTGCGATTAATAATTTTTGAAATTTAAAGTTGTTCATATTGATAAAAAGAAGTTATTTTGTCTCGTTGAAAACGAATTTTAAAAGGAATTCTAATTTTAAAGACCTAAAACATGTATGATTCTGCAGTCATTTTGTGTTATTTAGAGGTAAACAATCAGTAATCAATTGATTCTCACTCAAAAATTTCGGAAGGAAGAGGGGAAAAAAATTCGAAAATTGGTGGTTTCAGGGCGCGACCACCGTGTTTCAAAGGGTTAAAAAAAAAATCTAAGAATTGCACAAATTTGAGATTGTGCTTGCTATTGTTTTCCCCATGTAAACAGCGATTATTTTCACTTGAAAAGTAATTAAATAATTGGACAGGTTTTGATCCATCAAATTTGATTGTTTATGATGTACAACTTGGCAGAATACAAATTTTTACATTCTGTAATATTGATAAAATACTGTGTTTCTGAAGAAATAAAATGCTTTCTTTTTATCATGGGCAAATTATTTCAGGAGTCTCATTACGATTCCTTACAACGAAAACTAAATGTACTCCATGCAAAAAGAAACGCTAATTAGAAAAATCATTATTGAATTTAAATATGGAAATTTACACTTATCGGAATTGCCGCATAAATATATTTTGGTGATACAGTGTGTTTCCTGTGAATTCTCTACAGGAGGGGCAGATAATAGAAAGAATAACTTCATCTTATATATTCATCTCAATCATTATATATCCCTTTTATATAATTTATATCTTAATCACTATATCTAAGTTTTCTGGGGTTATTCTCAATAAAGTTGTTAGTTTCTTCTGAATACATACGATTTTTGAACAACAAATATTTTTAATTAAATTTGAAAGAGGACAGGAATTTATTATATTAAAAGGAAAAAAAATTCTACAAAGAGATACTAAAAATGTTAACAAATTAGTAGAAGAGGTCTAGACTAGTAGAAGTGTTAGTTTGTTTATTAAGCAGATGAACTTAGAAGAAATGTTTATACAGTCAAAAGTCATTAATTCGGACACCCATAATCCGGAACGATCTAAAATCCGGACCTCAAAGCTACAAACTTTCTGCGCCTGCGTCGCGTTCACACATGCGCACAGGCGTTTACGAGTGTACGCAAGACTTTTATGGCTGTGAATATGTTTTTGCGCATGCGCGTTTAATGTGTAACGGACGATATAATCTAAGCAAAAATTATTTAATTCAATTAATGTTGCAGATTGCGTTGTTCCTTAATTCGAATTTGATCCGGCTTATTATTTTTTTACGGACTGTTAGAGCAATTTCATAAAAGTAAGCTTGAACTTTCGATTATGTCAAATAAAATTTCCGATATATATTTACTAATATGTAATTTGTATCTACAAAGCGAAAGTATGTTTTGAAATCC